AGTGAAGTTTAATTTCCTTAAACTCTTTGTTTAACTTAAAAGGTAATTTATGAAAATTCGTTTTTAGTCTATGTACTTTTAATTTTTTATATTGGTCCTAAAATTGTAAAAGGAAAATATTAGATAAAAGTCGTTCGTATTTGTTGATAATTTTGCCAATGTCATCCTCATCTACTGATGGCTTTGTTGGTTTATGTAGAAACTATCCCAAACGATAAAACCTTTAATAAATCTGAATATATTTCCCTAACGTAATTCATTAATTTTACTTAATGTGATATTTTTTTTGGTACCCAAAAGTTTAGATCAGGGGTGGTTCCCCAATCTAGGGTCATGGCATACCTAAATCCAATTAGGATTTACATAAGAACTTACAAATTGCCCACCAAGTGACGGTGATAGGATTTGAACTTGACCTTGACCTTACAAGCTCAAATTCCTGAATTTCAATCACTTGTGCCAACACTCGTTGGCTTACTTAAGATGTGATATAAAAAATTTACAACCACATTAAATTTTGTATAACTAAAATTATCATCATATCAAAGAATACTAAAAATATATTTACACTATGGGAATATATGAACTACTGCTCAAAAAGCTTCTTTGTTCACTAATGCTAGCGGAGGAGATAAACCTTATCTTTGTAGCATGTGGATCTGCTTGTTTTTCATAGGCATTGCTCAAATTTAAGCATATGTTCTCACTTTTTCTACTTTGAACCTCATTCACCCTTACCTTACCCTCTTCACCCAAATCCCAATGTGCCTCTCATCTCGGGACCACCCAAAATGAAGCAAGTTTATATTAAATGAAGTGGTAGCTTGACAAGATTGGGACAATCTCTTGCATTATTTTTAGTGTTTTAATACAACTCAATACCTACCTTTATTAGTTGTGGACTTTAGTGTTTTCCTTCTTTTGGGGAGGTTAAATCTTAATTTACACCTTATATTTAGATCTTTCCCCCCCCCCCCTTCTGTTTGTTCTTTTATGTGTGATGTCTTAAAGCTGATAGTCTAATATTAAGATCTCTTGCTAAAAGTTACTTTGGATTTTCCTTTCTAATCACGTCTATCCAAGCTTGAAAGTGTTTTGAGCCTAGACATAGGGTTGGAATTTTGTTTAAGGAAATTCAAATTTCATTCCAAAGGTAATGTGCAACAGCATTGAACATAGGGTTAATCATCGTAACATTGGACGATGTTCAGTCTTCATGTCGAGCTGATCTGGACGGTGTTGGATGGTCTAACCTTAGCATGGGAGCATTGGACAAGACGCGTTGAAGTAGAAGTGACAGTAACGAGGTTGCGAGGATCCTCAACTCTCCAACCCAGCTGCATGAACATCAATTATCGTAGGATCCGCAAGCTCCTAAAACTTTATTGGAATATCGAGATCATCTAGGTAATCGAGAAGTGAACAATGTAGTTGAATATTAGCTCGCCTTGGGCATTACAATCCTACCGTATCCACCCGCCGGTTTTTAGTGCCTTAGGATATGATTGTCGACGATAATAAATAAACTAGCTATTACCCAGCAGTTCTTGTAAACAAAAAACTTCTAATAGCTTGAGTTTGAATTTTGCTAATTTCTTCAGTTATTTCTCATAACCATACCACTCATGAGTAATAATAGCTTTTGCAATCACAAATAAACTTTACAAAAGTACCAAACATTTTATTAATTAAATACAAATGTCATCACTAACTTTAATCTCAACCTATTTTGGTTGTTAAATTAAAAAAATTAATTGAATCATTGAAATTTAGAATTATCCTTTTTTGTCACCCCGCCTTTAAATGATTACAAAATTCTGAATGAGCATTTGCCTTTCAAAAATTAGGAAATGACCACAAATTTTATTCATTTTTGTGTGAAAAAAAATCCTAATTTCGGATTATGATGATCAAGCACCTTCTTCTAAATCCAACCGGGAGGGGGGAGATGGAGAAGGACGTAACAAGCTATATATCTCAATTCCATGTAATTGAATGATAGAGATTATATATGAAGTGGTTTAGGGTTTTACGAGTTTTATATTGAGTTTTACTAATTTAAAGAGATATTAAGAAAATATAAATTGATAGAATGTAGAGGACAATGACGAGAGTTTTTGATGTCTTGATTGGTTAGATAAGATGTCAGAGAACGACAAATTTGACATCGACACGACAAAAATATGAAATTATAAAAGTTTTATCATTTTAACAAAAGATAATATAATAAAAAATAGATCGATAACACATTGTCTCCATGTTAGTAAAAAATGGCTATATCATCATGTTGTATTAGATTTAACACTTGAATGACTAAAACAAAAACAATCTAAAATTTAGTGATGAAATTATATTTTTTAATGTACAATGACTAAAATAAATACACAGTAAAAAAATGAGTGATGGAAACATGAAAAACAATGTACAATATGTATTAGTATCTAAAATAAGTAGATATTTGGGTTGGGTGAATGGCTGTAAGCGCACTCACGTGCTTCTGCTACTAAAAACTATCATTCGTTCAATTCAACCCATGCACATTGTACACTAACGCTAATCATTTTTAAAAATATTATATTTTATATATAATGCCTTGGGAATGTCTCTCCCAAACTTTACTTTAAAGCTGATTACCTTTTCTCTTTAAATATCCCATGTAAAAGCATACCAAATAACATTAAATACAATTTTTTTTAAATAATATTAACACAATATGATTAAACAATGTTTAATAATTATTAGCGGTAATAACTCATTAAGTAGTTTCAATGATAAATGAGAATGTTGTTCTCTTAAAGAATATGAGCTTGAGCAATTTCGTTAATTTGTAGGGGGTGTGTTATCAATTAATTAAGAAAGTTTCGAATATATATTATATTGTAATCACCTAAACTATTCAAAAATAAAATATTAACGTTTAAGCGTGACAATAATTTCTATATTAATACATATAAGTATTTCTATTTTTTTAAAAAGAAATACAATAATTCAAATACATTAATTTAAGTAATGTCTAGATCTTATTTTTTCATATAAATGTTTATTATATCACAATAATCAATGAAAAACGTATGAAAACATCCAAATTACATATCAAATGAATGGATTATCGTATGGTTCATATATCAATGTCAAAATAACCCAAAAGCAAAGGAAATGCGTATCAATTTGAAACAGGTTCCCTTCATTAATCACCACGTTGGGTTGCTTAGATAGAAAGGCAATTTAGTTATTATAGTGGATAAATAAAGTAAAAATAAAATGATAATTATTTGATACATAGATGGTGATTACTTTTTTAAGGGTGATGGTGATTAATTTAATTTTAGTTTAAGTTAAAATTTTATTAGTGTCGTTAATTGATATTTAAAAATGAGATATGATAATTTTTTAATTTAGTTGTGAAGTTGAAAAGCTTAGTAATATTAAGTATAATTGGTCTAATATGATGAGATGCTAGATATCTTAATAAAATGACTAAAATATTTTAAAAATTAAATTTTCTCTATTTAAATTAATTAATTAATTAAAAAGAGTAAAAATATTAATTTGAGAGATAAAATATATCATTTTCAAAAATAATATACTCCGATTTTTACTTTTACTTTTTTTGCATTGACATGTCTATTGGGTCATTAGATTTCTTATATAAAATGGAAGCACTATATAAAAAGAGAAGATGACAAAAGCCTCTCATGATCTCTCATAAAGAAGCTGATGAACTGAACATGAAGAAGAAATGAAAGTGCGGTAAGCCTGTGAATGACTCTTGTCTTCAAGCATTACTTCTTTAATGCTGAACAAAATTTTGTTTTATTAATAAAAGAAATATTTTCATCAAGATTTCTCAATCCATAAATAATATATATATATATGCAGTTTTTTTTTTCATTGGTTTGTCCATCTGTTACGCCATTCTTGGATTCAATAGCGATTTCAAGCTCAAATTCTCGTCGTTTTCTTTGTTTCTTCACTCTTTCATACTTTTATATATTAATATATAAAATTTGATATTTTTTTACTATATAAATAGACAAAAACTTGCAATGTAAAAAACCCATGTCTATACATGCAGCATTGGTGTTTCCTGGTCGCTTTACTTTCAAGTTTGCCCGCTCTGTAACTTAGAATAAACAAGGTATTCAAAGAAATTTCTTTCTTTATCATTCCCTCTTTTTTTTTATCATTTCGTCACTATATAAATAGACAAAACTTGCAATGTAAAAAACCCATGTATATACATGCAGGCATTGGTGTTTCCTGGTCGCTTTACTTTCAAGTTTGCCCGCTCTGTAACTTAGAAATAAACAAAGGGTATTCAAAGAAATTTCTTTCTTTATCATTCCCTCTTTTTTTTTATCATTTCGTCTCGGAGAAATTTCAATGGCTATTGTTTTGTTTCTTACTTTCTTCTTTGTTTGCATTGTTTCTTTCAGGCCATGGAAATTATTAGTAGTAGGAGACTAAAAGTGTAGGTACTGTTGCATTGTTTATTTTTTGTATTTTGATTCTTTAAATAGAAAGAAAAAGGGAAAAAGAAGAAGAAGATGATGAATACAAGAGTCCGCACCGCCCTTCAGTCCATGAAGGCTCCTTTAAATCATGACAGAAACAACAATAAAGTAACTTCTCTCTTTTTCTTTCTTATTTTGACCTTCTTCACAAGATTTGAAGATTTGGGTTTTGTTAATTATTGGTTTGAATATCCAAAGTCTGATTCTTTGGGGATTAGAAGTTGAAACTTGGATTGTTTTTGGTTTAAACATTTTGGAATTGTTTTAATTTTAAACCTTTTTCTTTTGCTGTTATTGCTTGTGTCATAAAAAGAGAAGTAGGGAAGCACTTTTGATCCAAAAATCTGAAGCTGACCTTGCACTTGTCTCAAGGAAGGAATAGTGTCTTCTTTAAGTTTCTTTCTTTCAATTATTTCTTTGTATAAACCCTTTTCATTTACTGAAGAATTTGCCATTTCCCCCTTTGGATGTACAAAGAAGGAGAAGATGGAGAAGAGTCAGGGAAGTAGAACACTTGGTACCAGCAAAGCAGTCACAAATAGGAGAAGATCAAACAGGGAAAGGAAAATAGCCTTATTACAAGATGTAACCAAAAATATTATTCTCTCTTTTAGTCTATTCAATTGATTTTCTCTTGGCTTTTTGCTTGCATTTTTTTAAAACAAATTTGAGGTGTTACTGGTGAATTTTTTAGGTTGATAAGCTAAAAAGGAAGCTTAGACATGAAGAGAATGTTCATAGAGCTTTGGAGAGAGCTTTTACCAGACCTTTAGGGGCACTTCCTCGGCTTCCTCCTTACCTACCTCCATATGTAAGCCTAACTTAAATTGCATGCTACATTTGAGGAAGAATTGCTCAGATACTTGAAAATTGGTTTTTTTTTTACATGTTTTATGTAAATTTCGGTTTCGATTGTGAATTGTTTTTATTTTCCGAGGGATTTCCAGACACTAGAGTTGCTTGCTGAGGTAGCTGTTTTGGAAGAGGAAGTTGTCAGGCTTGAAGAGCAAGTAGTGAGTTTTAGGCAAGGCCTTTATCAAGAAGTTGTCTATGCATCTTCCAAGAGGAATGTGGAGAATTCGAATGAATCCACCGTCGAGCAGTCTCCGGTTCGACATACTAAACATCAGCGTTCGAAGTCTTTGTCCATAAACGAGATGAGTCCTGTACCAGCCATTTCCAGGCCTCAACCGTCTCTTTCCAGAAGTGTTTCAAGCAGAAAGCTGTTGCCTCCTGATACTATTCATGATCGATCTGGACAGTGCATTAGCAGGCTGACAACTGGGAGACAAGCTTCCGCAAAGTCCAATTCTGCTTCTGGAGATGTCAGAGGAAAAGAAAGCCAATCACTTGCCAATGCTTTGAAGGATAAACAATCTCCAGGTAAGAAAGTTTCCAACATTGTGACTCCAGTAAAGAGACTTAAAACCAAGCTTGAATCAACAGACAAATGTTTGGAGCCTCTTAAGGTGCAGGTATGTACTGATTTAAGGTGCAGGCAGAGATGAATATCTGGTATTACTTACAAATATTTGGTGGTCGGTTCATTGGTAGGAGTGTGTTTTAGGTTTGACCAATTGACGCAAAATTTACCATGAAATAGTTCACAAAATGGATATTTTAATTTCTTTTGTCAGGGATGGATGGACATAGGATAGCGGCAATTTTTTTGATAGAAATGCCTCTTTATATGGAAAAGATTTGATACTCGTAGTTAACTGATTATACAGAAAATGTGGCCCAGCTGCATTTTGCTGACAAGACAGCAGGTAATATGAAACTTGATTTTAGTCAACGGAACAGTCATTCATTCCATGGATTGTTTCACTACACTACATCACGCGCACTATAGGCTTTTGGCTTAGCCACCGTTGGTTTAAAAATGACCAGACATCCCCCACGCCTACAAGATAAAATCAGAATGCCACAACTGAAAATTTTAATGGAATAAAAACGAAGCCATTTCAAATAAAAACACCAATCAAAATTTTGACGTGGAAATGTCATATCTATCGCCAAAGGTAAATTACAAACGGGATTTGTTCCTAACTAATGAAAATATCACTGATGCCTATATTACAATCCCAAGTCCCACAATAAACAAATGGGCCTGAGCTTGAGGAAGATCTGAAACAAGGGGCTGGAAAAAGAATCATATACAAACAAATGAAAAGAGAAGTTATACATATACCTCGTGTCCCCTGCTAGATTCTCAATGGTTGATGGAACTCAACTTTCAAAAGGAAGACCAGTGTCTGAGGATCTGGCTATATGAGAAAACCAAACCGACATCAAGGATGGGTTTCCGAGAGAGTCTGATGGTTTATAGAAATGGCTATTTATGATCTCAGCCAAATGGAGAAAGAACTGGGCCAGACCCTCCAAGTGCATCTGATCTTTTAATACCTCCCATACCACAGATAATGCATCCAGGAGATGAGAGTGCAGAAAATTTGGCCCCACAAAGATCACAAACATCGTATCCGATAGTAGACAGACGGCTGAGAGTGGCAGCATAGAAATGAGAAGGATCCTCCAGTGGATCAAGGATTTGTTGGTTAAACCCCTCTGGACACAAATGTCAATCAGGCTCCTCAATTCCTCTTGCTTACCAGGAGGTGCCTTAGACAGGAGAAGTTCAAGTATCTGCTTCGCATAGGCATATTTCTGAACATCCATATTTCGTTTTATGGCAGTACGAATGCAATTTATTCGGTGCTTAGCCTGTAGGGGCAAAAGAACCTAGATGTCTAGATAGTCTAGCCATCTCATCTTTTGCGCCGAGTGCTCTTGGGCCTTGAACTTTCTGCAATCTCAGAATTTCCTGCAGGGGAACCAAAGCAAATATATCAAGTGTTGGAAAAACAATTTTACGTTCCCAATTAAAGCATAAAGGTTGAGGCTTGGGACTATTAAATGGGCATCAGGTAAACGCTATTAGCAAAGCTTAGCCTATCCGCCACAACCCTTCAGATACTGACTTATAAATTTATGAACCGTCAAAGTATAATTAGCATAAACTACTCAGCTTGTAAAGATCAAAACTGAATTGAATGTTACGAATAATGGTCCATGTACCCAGACTACGTACATTCTTCTTCCGTAGAAATTGCATATAAGTTCAACAATATGATATCTAGCACCATGAATGGAATACAAAAACTACGGAATTAAATGATGAGAAACACTAAAATTGCTAGAAACAACAAAGAATCTAAACAAGATCCTAATCATGTCTTCAGAACTAAGATAGCCCACAGAAGAGAGAGAACATTGAACCTAAATATTTGAAAAATCATAAAACATCAACAATCCTTAGGCTGGTTGTTAGGAAATAAACGAGTAAGTAATTTCCCTATAGTCAGATTAGTGAGAATACGAAATAAAAGCAGAAAAATAATACCCGAAATTGATAACGGAGTTCAGCCAATTGTGCTTACGTCTCCGGACTGCTGCAGATCTTTTACTAAGAGAGAAAATTTACAGGTGTTTACAAAACACTCACTACTCACAAGAAAACTCTCTAGTATTGGGAGAAAGAAATGATTTTTTGGATGGTTTTGAAGCTAAATGATCTAGGGTATTTATAGTTGAAACTTAAGGACTTAATCTTGTAAATACCCTAAAACCTAGGGATTAATTGTGATTATCCCATTATCATTTTTCAACAAACATCTACCAAACTTTGAAAAACTATTTTTCAAAAAAACATTTACCAAACTTTGAAAACCATTTTCAAAGAAACATTTACCAAACTTTGAAAACCATTTTTTCAAAGTTGGTTACCAAACTTGAAAACCATTTTAATACTTTCAACAATCTCTCACTTGAAGACTGATTTTAATCTGTCTTCACACCTCGATCAATGCAACAGCTTTTCTAGTCTTGTTACTCTAGCATGCCAACTGAAGTTGAACACAACTTCAGTTTGTCTGTAGTCACCGTCTTTGTCAACATATCTGCCGGATTTTGAGCTCCACTGATCTTTTCAAGTTTCAAAATCTCATCTTCCAGAAGAGACCGGATAAAATGATATCGCAATTGTATGTGCTTTGTCCTGGAATGAAAAGACGGATTCTTTGCTAGATGTATAGCACTTTGACTGTCGCAATACAAAACATTGTTTTCTTGTTTCTTGCCTAACTCTTCCAAGAAACTTTGGAGCCAAACCATCTCCTTGCTAGCTTCCGTAACAGCGACATATTCTGCTTCAGTTGTGGAGAGAGCAACTATATTCTATAGTTGAGAAACCCAACTCACTGCAGTTCCTCCTAGAGTATAGACATACCCTGTAGTGCTCCTTCTGATTTCAACATTTCCGGCTAAGTCAGCATCTACATAGCCTGTCAGTATCGTATCTCCACCTTTGAAACAAAGTGTTTTGTTTGTGGTACCCCGCAGATATCTGAGGATCCATTTGACTGCTTCCCAGTGTACCTTGCCCGGATTATTCATGTACCTGCTAATAGCTCCCACTGCTTGAGCAATATCTGGTCTGGTACAAACCATGGCATACATCAGACTTCCAATCGCTGAGGCGTACGGCACCTTCACCATGTGTGCACGTTCTTCCTCCGTCTTTGGTGACTGTTCTTTGGAGAGTCTGAAATGAACACCTAAAGATGTACTTACTGGTTTAGCATCTTGCATGTTGAACATGGAGAGTACTTTGTTGTTGTACTCAGCCTGTGATAATATCAAAGTCCCTGACTTTGTGTCTCTCTTGATCCTCATCCCAAGAATCTGCTTTACAGCGCCCAGATCCTTCATAGCAAACTGCTTTGACAATTTTTGCTTCAAGTTTATAATTTCTTGCATGTCTGAGCCTGCAACGAGCATGTCATCAACGTACAACAATAAAATAATGAAGCTATTGTCGAACCTCTTGATGTAGCAACAATGATCTGCTTGGCATATGGTAAAACCACTGCTACTCATGAAACTATCGAACTTCTTGTACCACTGTCTAGGAGCTTGTTTTAAACCATACAAGCTCTTCTTCAACCTGCATACCAGGTTTTTCTTGTCTGTCTCTATGAAGCCTTCTGGCTGCCTCATATAGATTTCTTCCTCCAAATCACCATGAAGGAAAGTTGTCTTTACATCTAACTGCTCAAGATGTAAATTCTCTGCAGCTACAATTTTCAACACCAGTCTGATTGTAGACAGTTCACGACTGGAGAGAAAATTTCATTGTAGTCAATACATTCTTTTTGCTGAAAACCTTTGACAACCAATCTTACTTTGTAGCGTTTGCTCCCATCGTGCTCTTCTTTGATCCTGTAAATCCACTTGTTGTGAAGCGCTTTCTTGCCTGGTGGTAATTCAGCTAATTCCCACGTCTGATTTGACAAAAGCGAGTCCATCTCATCTTTCATGGAAGACTCCCACTTGACTGAATCCTCCACTTGCATTGCTTCATCATAACACTCTGGTTCACCATTGTCAGTCAGCAACAAGTAGTGCAAAGAAGGAGAATATCGTTGGGTTGGTTTAGGAATTCTGGAGGAGCGTCTTAGTTCCGGTGTGCCTGGTTCTTCTTGAACTGATTCAGGACTGATCTGAACATCATTTCCAGAAATCTCCTCAAACTCAGTAAATTCCTTTGTTTCAGCTTTGGTATTGGAGCTGCTTGATTCTACAGTTGACCTATCTTTGTACAACACATTCTCATTGAAAATGACATCTCTGCTTCTAATGATCTTCCGATTTTCATAGTCCCAAAATCGGTAACCGAACTCATCACCGTCGTAACCAACAAAGGCACATTTGTTGGACTTAGCATCAAGTTTACTTCTTTCAGCAGAGTCTATATGTACATAAGAAATACAACCAAACACTCTTAAGTGTGAAAGGTTTATTTCTTTCTTGCTCCAAACTTCCTCTGGTATTCTGCCATCCAAAGGAACTGAGGGCCCACGGTTGATCAGGTAAGCTGCAGTGTTAATAGCTTCGGCCCATAAAAATTTGGGCAATCCGGCATGTATCCTCATACTTCTGGCACGTTCATTCAGAGTTCTGTTCATGCGCTCTGCTACGCCATTCTGCTGCGGTGTCATGGGAACTATTGTCTCCATCTTGATCCCATTGTTTGCGCAAAAATCTCTGAATCTCCTATTTCTGTACTCTCCTCCATTGTCAGACCTCAACCGCTTGACTTTCATACCATTCTCATTTTCCACCATGGCCTTTCATTTTCTGAAGGTATCAAAGACTTCTGATTTTTTCTTCAGAAAATAAACCCACACCTTCCTTGTAGAATCATCGATGAAGGTGACATAATATAATGAGCCTGCAAGAGATGGAAATGGAGATGGTCCCCATACATAGTATGAACTAACTCTAACTTTTCAGCCTTGGGTGTCTTACCAATTTTTGCAAAGCTGACTTTCTTTTGTTTGCCAAAGATGCAATCCTCGCATTGTCCGACATCTACATTCTTTAGATCCGACAGCTTCCCTTTGACAAAAGTGTCTTCATCCCTTTCTCGCTCATATGGCCAAGCCTTTGGTGCCATAGGTTTGATTTTCCATCAGCATCTGCTACTGCAATGATATTCTCTAAATTTGAGGTTACATAGAGAGTACCAGTCTTCTTACCACGAGCAATGACGAGTGCTCCTTTGGTAATCTTCCATTCACAACCTGAAAAGGTTGTA